TTTCCTAATACCGACTCATGTTTGCTGCCTTACATGAACTTAAGAAAGCCGTTTTACTTGAACGGACTCAAAATCTTTATGTGGCAAACTGAAGCAGAAAGAGTTTCTTTGCAAGATCACTATCAAACCTAGAAACAACAATTTATGATGAAGCGCATTCCGTTACGAAAAGTAATTAGAAAAAATACCTATGACCCAGCACGTTCATTTATACAATTTGCTTCTGTAAAGCAATGTAGCTTCAAGAAAATGCGGTTGCGTGGTTTTTCGCTGCTATCTCCGGTCATGATTCTTATTTTCTTTTGACTGTGTCTCAACCAACGACTGAAAACAACTCATTGAAAGTCACCATAAATTGATCTCTAGAGTCGTAAGAATGTGAGGCGTAGATGTGTGCATGGCAGTGATGGCCTTCGGGTCTTGCCGTAAATGACGGTGAGAGTGAAAAACTCTTTGTAGTAAAAAGTAGGAGTGATCAGCCTCTACGAGTTGAAAGTGAGGGTAGACGGGAAGGAGGAATTGGCTGAATGTCTGCACTGTAGGCAATGTATGATCAACTTTGTTTCAAAGAAATTATGCTACAAAGAATGACTTATACATGCATAATTTGCTCAAACGCGTGGGCTAAAAATCGTAGTTCAGTGTCTTTATAAAGTGGACGTTGAGAGGTTTGCAAGTACACAACAGGATTCTCGACTCCATATCTAATTTCCTTGCTATCAGTTTTTGAAGAACCGCTTTTCGTAACCATTTCCTCGTACGCAAACCATAACATTTCTTAAAGATGTTTGGAAGATGAGCACTGCCCTGGAGGACGAGTACGTTCACTCGGTGTATTCACGTCTTGCTGCATATCAAAAGAAGGACCATCGCCCTTCTTCTCCGAGAGTTTGGCCGAAAGTGCGCGGCTTTCTGGAATCTCAAGCATATGGAAGTATCGTTATTGATGTCGGTGAGAATATCTTGACTGAGTCTCATTTGAAAACCGCATTAGCACTGTAAAAGATATCATCTTCACCTCAAATGTGATAGGTATATTTAGGCTGTGGCGAAGCAAAGTATACCTCATCTAAGACAATTGTGCTTGGAATAGATACATGTGCCGACGCGCTTATAGGTAGACGTAAAAATGGGACGGAAAGCCTCGATCTTCTTCTTGGTGACGCATTAGCGCTTCCCTTCAGGTGAACAACTTATACTTATAAGGATCATGCATATTCTTTAAAGTAGGCAGTTGATACAGAAACGTGCATTTGGCCGGCTTCACTTTTCTGTTGCAATGATGTGTGCTTTTCTGTTTCTAGCTGGAATGCAGATTTGATGTGCTTGATATTCAACAGAAATTGCACGCATTACCGCAAGCAGATTAACCGAAAGAAAAAGGCTTTTATCAAAATACTTTTTGAACCGATGATGTACGTTAGGAGGCACTCATGACTCGGCGAGTTACCTAGCTAATCACAGGGTAGGTGTGACGTCCGATCTCGGCGTAATGATTTCTTGTTTTGCCAAAGAAACAACAATCTATAGTGGAAGATCAGAGCAAGAGAGGGCCAATAAACGGTTTTGCAAAACTTAGTAGGCCATTTTCAAGTTCTGGGACCCAGTTGTAAAGGTTAGCATTGCGGTTGCCGTGCCCTACAACATCTCTCGTAGCCCAAGCCATTCTGTTAGTTTTTTCAAATGTCCACTTTTGTACCGCGCGGACTGGGAATGCATAGACCCCCAAGTATTGTAGCTTGGTAACGTGCCAAGCCCTACTCACGCAAAGTGCAACTGCTAACAATCAAAGCATTCGCAGCAATGCGCATCCGCGTGACGTCTAGGATGGCTCGAGATATGGCTAATGCGTACCCCGGAAATGGTGCTAGACT